GTGTGTGTGCGTGTGTGTGTGTGTTGGTGGTTTTCATCCATGGATGTCCATTGGGATGTGCCGAGAAAAGTTCCTTACTTGATGCCCCGGCCCGCACTTGAATAGAGTAGAGCACGAGTCTCCGTTGGTTGATAACCTTTTATTTCCCGGAAACGGGAGACTGCTCCCGTGGCCGAGCCAGTATTCTGCCCAACTACAAGGGATGGGGGCTCCATTGTGTGTTGGCTACATTATGGTACCCAGGGACAGGATACTTGCTGGAGCCCCGCAACATGACCCAATATGGTATGCCGATCGATCGAATTACTACAGCCTTACAAGGTTGGTGATCATGATGATCACAAGGTTCACCCTCGTGTGTGTGGACTAGATCAAATAAATACAGATCCGAGCATGAGCTTCTATATCCGACGTGCGTGCTATTTCACTTGATGCCATTAGTAGCAGACGATAACTCACGCTTTCTTCCTTGCCCGATTGTTTGTAGTCTTGTTCGGTAGAGCAAAGCAGTTGATCAGATAGAAAGGGGACGGAGGAGAGGAGAGGTTTTCCAGCCCCGTCACAAAGTTGCAAACGGAACTGTCCGCCCGCAGTACGGCGTTTGAAGAGTTAGGGGCCGATTCTCGATGAGAAGTACGTAGATTACGGGTTGTCCCCATTCGGCCCCCCCAGCAAACAAGACAGATGCAAGGCCGTGCTGATTGGGTCCAACCTGCCTGCAGAACGATTGGGAAAGACCAGGGAGGGGAAGAAAAAGCACATCAAGTCCCAAGACTTTTTTCCTTCCTTGATTGTATTTTGTTATTTGGGTCAGCTATGAGGAGGTTGCTTATATCCTGTCATGGTATGTTCCCAAGTAGCAACGAAGAACAAGGTTGGCCATCCAAAGCCTTGCTGGGCAAACTGGGCGCAAACCATGACCCTCTCGGGATTGAGGAGAAAGGCGGACCGGGGGGGTTGTAATCCATGTCTACCTACATTAGGGTCTAGGTAGATCTTGGACTTGTCTGGGGATGGGGGGATGATCATGTCAGATTTATCACTTGTTGTTAGCCGCATGCAGCTAAATAACAACTGATCAAGGTCATATGTTTTCTTGTTGTTGGCCTGAGTTAGGCGCGCTTACTGTGTTTTAGCAGGTACCAAATGGCCGGGTCAAAAAAACTAGCGCCCAAGCGACAAGCTCCAAATTTCTTGTTTGACCGGGGTTCAAACTCGACTGTATATATGTAGTCTAGGTTTGTGACAAACCGGGGGTGGTACAAATTAGCAAACTACACGACCATGATGACCCGGAATGAGAAGAGAATGCTTGTCTTGTTTGTGGAGGAGGGGGATATGCAATGTACGCTTGCGGAATGGTCTGTAGCTTGTGTTTCCATGAAAGAAAGAGATGCTCGTATCAGAATGCCTCATAGCAAACTTTGTATATTGATTCTAGTCAAGCGGGTGGAAAGGAATGCCTGAAAGGATCTGCCGTTATGGGTTCGCTTATAGATATCCTTGCAAGATGTGCTCGATGTAGCCGCGTACCTTTTGATAGTTCACTCGGGTCTTTGAACATCTCTAGGTTGGTGTTGGTTCGCCTGCCGGTACTCCGCCATGCAGGAGATACTGTATCTTGCAAGTCGAGTATACGCTTCCGGAGTAGTACAATGATGGACATGTGAATGTGGGTATAGCTGTTGTTGTTTCATGCCCAGGCACGATACAAACCAAAGCGTCTCTTTTCGACAAGTGTAGTGGGCGTGTCTCTATAGACCATCGTAATCGGTGTCTCCACGACCTCTTGCAGTTTGACAAGGAGTTTGCCTTGGCAAAGATCAAGGCCAGCAACAAGGGCTGAGATGTGTCATCTGCAGGCTGCTGTTGAGGGGCAAAATCTGATAATTTGCTTGATGTTGAGCTGCAAGTTGCCGTGCTTAACCCGGGCAACTAGAGCTAGACTAAGGTTTTCTGAATGTGAACAGCCTTTCATGTTCCTTGGTTTATTTAAGAGTTGAAACCGTACAGGCATTGATGCCTTGTTGCCGGACAGGATAGCCCACTAGCTGGCTACCTCGGGGACGCAAGAAGATGATGAATGACAACTCGAGGGCTCAAAGCCAACAGCTTCCACATCCCCGATGTGTTAGCCTGCCAGATTTCACCACAATGTATCCGCATCGAAGGATCGGTACCGAGATCCGCCATAGCTCCCATAGCGGAATGTCCTACTATGTTCATCCGATGGCTCTGGATGTCCCCAGCAAGATCCGACATGCTTCTGATCAGAGTCACGACCGAAACGTGACGACCGTGCATAATCCAATTCAGATCCCGCCGGCGGTCAGTCCACCAACAACATCTGTCAAGCCAATGACCATGGATCGAGGGGCAGAAGAGAGACTTGCCCAGGCGGCAAAGCAGCTCCATGAACAAGCCAAGGAGAGCATGGGCATATACCAGTCCTTTTTCGACAAGTACAATCAAGACATCAGCAGTGTACGCGATTATGTCGACACCGTCACACGTCGTCGCATCTGGCAGAGCAAGATCGCGCAAAACACCCAATACAGCCAAGAGCAGGAAGGTGAAGATCAACAGCTGGTATACCAAGTCAGCAAATTGCAAGTCTGCTTCGACCATTTTAGCGACGCCGCAGGTTATGTCACTTTACAAGACGAGCCGAGCGATGCAAATGCGTATAACTCTCGATATTTTTTGTTGGATAAGATAGCGCACGCATACAACCGAGTGAAAGAGCTGGCTCGGAAAACAATGATGAACGAAGGCGCCTGCCCAGATTTAATCAACGAATTACAGGAGCTTCATGACCTTGTCGATCCGGAGAAGCCTACGGCGAGAGTGATTTATCGATTTGACAAGAGAGGAATTATGCCCATATCTGCCGACACAGTTACAATGCACATTGATGGCGCAGAAGCTGGCAATTACGAGGGCGGACAGGCAGAAGCCGCGGTGCACTGGGGATGAGCAGCAAGATGGGGACTAGTCTACGGAAGGCATGGGAGATACGCCAGAGATGTCGACAGCTTAGGGAGTATGCCGAGAGAATCCAGAGTGGGATTGGATGCTGTACTGGGACGCTGGGCTGATAATAAAGACGCCTAAGTAGTTGGGTTGCCATTTGTGTCTCGTTAGTAGTATTCCGGACTGAGTGTCGCAATGGAGTGATGACTGACCTGAAAAAGAAAAAGAAATGGTGAAGCATCGTCCTCAGCAGAGTAATCAGAATCGAATTGTACTCGTCCCCCGAAAGGGACAGCACGCCGCATATCGCACTCAAGTGTTCCCACACAATCTTCGCAACGGCTCTCCCATAGGGAAGCACTGGACGGACCCCCCCGAGCCTGCTGGAGCAGGCCCAGAAGGCGCCAGGCCCCTGCTTTTCTGATGCCTAATTGCGGGCTTGTTCAAGCTGGACCCTTACGGGCAGACCTAATCATCCCGCCCACGGAGGGGGCAGGGCGAGTGAGGTAGTGGATGAAGATTACTCCGAATTTCTCATATGCAGAAGGGGTAAAAAATCAGACTGGAAAACCAGACTGTCGAGAAACTGCTCGCGCAGCAAATTCTCTGTTTGTAGCATAGAAACGCGGCGTTGAAGAGGACGATGCTTCACAAGGAAGAAAAGGGAAAAGAAAGCCCCGAAAAGTTTTGGTGACTCAAAAATCTGATATTGTAGTCAAAAATTGCCTGCGCCGCATCTTGCTTGGGTGGATCCACTCACAGTGTGGCTAACCAATGAGAAAGTGCTATTCTTCAGCGTAGCTGCCAAAAGTGTGGCGTTCTTCAGTCTTGTTGCTCCACTTATACTTTCTTCTTTTTTTTTTTTTTTTTTTTTTTTTTTGGAGCGCCGTTGGTAGGCAACCGCTAGACAGCTGCCGGTCCCTGAGACTTATTGAGATGACATGTGAATCCATTGCGATCTAGACCAGAACTGGCCAAAAACTATTGTCAGATTTCTTTCCTCTTCACTGAATACATCAGATAGTTATTTCCCATAAGTCAGTCAGTCCGAATCCAACAACACATCTCATCATGTCTCGAATCATGCCTCGGATTTAACTCCAAAATTCTCTCGTCTTGGTGTTGCGATTTCTCTTCTACTTTCCTATTTCTTTTGTTTCCTTTTTTTTTTTTTAGATTTTTTAGACCTTTCCCCCCTTTCTTTCTGTTCTCTTAGACGAGACTTCTCATCACGATGGTGCAACAAAGTGGCGGTCACGTCTCTGCCCTGGACTTTCCCCAAGTCTGGCAAAAGCCATGCTTTGAAGAACTCATGGCATGTCTCAAAAGCCTACACATAGAGCCGCCAGTCTGGGGTCCTCAAGCCTCGACTCGAGTCATCCTAGAGAACCAAGAGAACAATGCTCGCTTCCGCAAGGAGGTTGCCGGATATCTTTCCAGCATCATCAAGAGCGACTGTAAGTCATTTTTCTCGGGATTCCTCTCGACCAAGAGGAACAAGCCGCTGGCTGTATTTGCATCAGTTTCGACATATGAAAAGTCCCAAGGATTTCGCCACTGACACTATAATCGTAATAGTGAGATGGCTCGGCGACAGTGACGACGAGAGAGAGGCCATCTGGGACGAGGCTAGCCGGCGACTTTCGGAGCGCTGCGGACGCGCGGGTATGGGCGAGATCACGCGCCGGTGGCCCTTTACCAGCGGTGATAGTGCCACCTACCCGGATTTTGAACTCATTATCCGTGAGCCGTCCATTACTGGCGACTGTTTGGGCTTCAAGACGTGGGGGTCGTCGTATTTTCTCGCGGGCCTCCTGGACCAGATTGCTGCGCGGTCGCTGTCACATCTGCTCCCGGCGGAAGCTGAAGGGACCTCCTCGTCGTCTTTCCCGGATGTCCTCGAGCTCGGATCCGGGACTGGGCTCTGCGGCATGGCCGCCGCCGCCATTTGGAAGACTCGCGTTACCCTGAGTGATTTGCCAGAGATTGTGCCCAATCTGTCTCATAACATTGAGACCAACCGCCAAATGATTGAGTCGCTCGGTGGCACCGTTGAGGCGGGTGCTCTGACCTGGGGCGGTGAACCTGAGGACGACGATGAGCTCTTCTCGAATAGAAATCAGTTCAAGGTATGTTCCAACCAGACACCTTGTGCACGTGTTCACAAATGCTCATGCTTTGATATAGATCTTACTGGCTGCCGACCCCATCTACGACGATGACCACCCAGCCCTCCTGGCCTCTGCCGTGCGCGACCACCTGTCGCGAGACGCCAACGCCAGAGTCGTCGCCATGGTTCCGCTGCGAGACAACATCACGAGGCGTCTGCTCCAGGATTTTAAAGACAAGTTGGCCAAGGATGACGACTGGCCTCTCACGTGCTTGGAAGAGCACTCTCTAATGGGCCAGGATGACTGGGGCGACGACGATGACGAAAAGACGCACATTGAGTGCTGGTGGGGCGTCTTTGGCAGCAGCGCGGCGAGGTAACCGGTAATGGCGATAATGAAAATGCGAAATGAACGATGAAATTAGGTACGCACGAAGGATAGATGTCAGTTTTGATTTTTAGAGTTTGTTGGCTTGGACCCCCCTTTTCCTCTAGCGAACCCAATGCCGCAAATGCCAGATTAGAAATTAGAGATGAAGACGCCATTAGAATTCGAAATAGACAAAGATTCAAGAAGACGGTCAAGTACAAGACTGACCACAGTGGAAACTGGTGTGAATGACATTGAGCAATGCCTATTTGACTTGCTTTCCAGTGATCATAAAACAGAAAAATGATTATCACGCAGGAGAGGACAAGAAGTATGTGCTCTCGATTTTATTAGCTCATTGTCATCTAGCACTCACGTAGCCCAGATCTCCAGACCAACACCGCCAACCACAAAGCTTTCCGCCTCATCGAGAACCTCCAAGTCACCCGCATCGGCAATGGCGCTGTAGCGATTATCCAGAAGCCTGAACCGTGGCCTCTCGCCCAGCGCGTCCGCGATTTCCCACCTCTTGACGCGCTGGTCATTGCTGCAGCTGGCCAGGACCGCCACCGTCCCCTCGGCGCCGAGGCTCAGGAACCCAATGCCCGTCACGGCTGCGGCGTGGGCCGACCTGACCATGGACTTTGACCGGACGGCGAAGCGGCCAGAGGCGCCATTGCGGTAGAGGTGCATGGCGCCGATGCCATTGTCGTCTCCGCCCGTGGCAACGAGGTACGAAGTCCCGCCATCATCGTCCGCGCCGCTGGGAAATGTCTTGATATCGAGCGACTTCATGGTGCTCTGGTGGAGCCTGGTGACGAGACTGGTGCGGAATTCGGCGACCACGTCGTGGGATGAAGAAGATGCGTCGACAAGGGGTGCCGCCGCTTCCCAGACGGCCACGTAGCCGTCGGTGGCGGTTGTCAGGACCTGTATCGCGGCGTCGTCCACATGGAGATGTTGTACCTGCGTCATGCATGCGCCCGTGTAGGACCCTTTAGCCACGAGCTGGAAGCCTGCCGTCTCGGAATAGGCATAGGTCAGCAATGTTGAGTTGGACAGGGCCATGGTGATGAGAAAGGATGGGCCGTGCAAAGATGTCGTTGTGTCGTCCACGCAGGACACGTCGAAATTCATGATTCTCAGATCAATGTCGTCGCTTCGGTCGGGGTAGACGGCCTCGCACTTTACCGCCAGGCCGCGGTAAGCGGAGCTGAGCTGGCTAAGCCTCCATACGAAGAACTCCTTGTTTCCTCCGCTGCTGAACAAGTGGCTTTGCTTGTGCCACTTCATGCTCTGGATGCCGGCAGTATGGTTTTCAAGCACGGCCAGGCACCGCATGGACGTCTCTGCGTTTTGAGCTTGGCCCTGGTTCGCGTAGCTCCATATCCGTATGGTGGTATCTTCGGCCGCGGTGGCCACGAGATCTCCAGAAGCAGCGACAGCCTTGATCTCTCGGCCATGTCCTCCCGACTTGAGTGCTCTGTGGGAGGCGTGCGATTGGGAGAAGAAACATAGCTGTGATGCTTGTGTCCAAACGAGTCGAAAGTCGCCCAGGGCACTCTGTACAGCATCATAGACAAATGTTCTGTGTCCTCCGCCACACTCGATCGAGGCAATCTCTCGGCGTTGGGTTTCATTCCAAACAATAAATTTCGTGCTACGAAATCCATAGAGAATCAAGTCGAGGCCGCCCTCGTCATCACTGGGGGCTAACGAGGCCCCTTCGATGATGGGCCCAAACGGAGGAGACGTTTCATGGATCAGTGTCACATGCCATGACTCTTGGTTTTTGTATAGTGTGTAAATCCGGAATTTTCCATCGCGACTCGTGGTCAGAAAGTTCACAGAGCCTTCGTTAGCTTTTGGCGGGAGAAATGTGATGGAAGTGACACAGTCGTTTGTCTTTGGCTCGACTGATGCTTTCACCTCATATACTTTGTCATCGGCAGATTCAAGTACTGATATATAGCCTGTTCTTGAGCCCAAGACCACCAGATTCTTATGAGTGGCTGCTGATGTAACAATGAAACGTCTGTCCACTGGTATATGTACTTGCTTTGGGCTCTCCGATTCAGATGTTTCATCAAACCCGAGAAGCGAAGCGCTGTCGCTTCCGAGGACTGTGACTAGAACTTTTGATCTATGATGCTCCACAGGTTTCCCCTGGGTTGCGTTTTCCTCGCGTACCTGCACTGAGGGACTCACATTTGGTGAAGACGTAAGCGAAAATATATCAGAAACTTTGCCATGTACGCTAGCAACATGCTCAAGTTTGGAAGAACCGCCACTGCGGTACACAAACACATTGCCTTCAGCTGTGCCTACATATGCAGTAGACGCATCAAAGGAGCCCTTGATTACTGCATAAGTTGATGAGGCGTCTCTAAGATGGTCTGGCAGATATAATTGTTCCCAGGAAGAGTTTTTTGTTGCATTTGCTATAAAAAACCGCCCGTTTTTGGTCGAGGTGAGGATAGTGTTGTCAGACAACAACGCATATCTGTTGAAAAAGTCCTTGGTTGGCTTCTTGACTTTCTTCTTCTTCTTAGTTGGCTTTGACGTTTTTGGGGTGGGATTCTTGCTTGCGTCTTCACCACTTGGATATGAGTCAGGATGCATTGGCGAAATGCTATTTTCTGTTGGTGTCGCAGTTGCCTCTTCTTGGGGCACAGTCGACTCTTCATCGAGTTCAACAACCTCGGGCATTGCTGGCATTTCCTCGAGTGTTTTTCCCTCCGTGACTCTGTGGCAACTTCCAATCACTGATAATTTGCCATCAGAAGCCCCGGTCACGACTAGTAATTGACCGGAATCGTCGGTCCTTATCGCATGGGACCAGATGTTCTTCCCGTTATGGTTGGCATAGATTGCCTCGTTCTTCAATTGTCCTCTTGTACGCGTGGGCAAATCAGGGACCTGTGCCTTGTCCCCACCGTTGGTCGAAGGATGTGAAGTGCCTAATGATAGAGACCATTTCTGTGCGGTCGCATCCTCACCAAACGACCAGAGGTCAATAGAAGAAGAGGAGAGTCGTGGTTGTCTCAGGGGAAACTCGACCTGCCATATCCGCGATATATGACCCATTGCCACGGCAAGACACCGAGCCGCAGACTCGTCCGTCGAGCTCTCCTCAATACTGTCTCCGAATCCCGTTTGCCGTACCGCCAAAATCTTACGCTGGTACTCCTCGCGTGTACCAGTTGACAAGTCCTGCGGATCCGTAATGTCCCAGATTCGGATCGTCCTGTCGTCGCTGCAACTGGCCAACAACCGTAGGCTTTCGCCCGTCTCCAAATGAATAATGGGCGAAACGTGAACACCGAAGATAGACCCCTCATGGCCAGAAAAGATAAAAAGAATCTCACAAGGAGACTCTTGGCTCTTGGAAGATATCGTGGAGTATTTCCAGACGACAATCTCGCCAAAAACCGTGCCAGCGGCCACCAGGATGCAGTCCGGCTCTTCCCAGGACAAGTTTCCAGAATAGAGGATGGGCCGTGATGGTGATACAGTCTCCAAGAACACGATTCTCCCTGAATCTTCATCATAACGCGCCTTGATTAGATCATTATGTGCCGTGAGCAGCGCTAGCTCATCTGGCGCATAGGGAGAGATGATGCCCTCAAAGACCCAGTCGGAAGCTTCCTCCACCACCACCACAGGTCGCGTCAACTCCTGACCTGCCTGATCAGAAATGACGGCCTCGACCAAATCAATCGGCAGGATCGCCACGGAAAAGCCGCCCCAGACCAAAATTCTTTGCTGCTTCTTTTCGTCTCCGCTGCCGCCACCCGCCTTGCTCACGGCAATACCGTGCACGGATTGGGCTGCAAACAGACCAACGTCGCCGCGAAACTCTGACGTCTCCACATCGTACACCTTGACGTGATTGTCCTCGCCGGCAAGCAAATACAGCCGGCCATCGGTAGTCGATGTGTAAAAGGCCAGCGCCGTTATAGGGCTCAAGACAAACTCCCTGCGCATTGACGACATTTGTGGCAGACTGCGCAAAGGCGTCGTGGCAGCACCTGATGGCTTGGCCAGTGACGACATGTTGAGCAGATGTCGCTGCAGGCAAGCATTCTACTCTTGACGATTGCTCAACTTGGACAGTGTCATTCGCTTTGCAAGCTCTATTCATGAAGTGGGTATCGCGGTGGTGATGGGAATTAAGCCTGCCGTCTGGCTGGCAATTGGCAGAGCTTGAATGCAGCTGGCGTAACCTACCTTCCACCAAGTAAAGGATTGGGGAAAGAAATCATAGTCCTGGCTGCTTCTCCTACACTGAACTTTGCCTACGAAAAGTAAAGAGCATTGGTTGGAGATAAGCTATGATAACATATTCAATTGATAATACAAAGTACATCAAGTAGTAACACCATGCTGTAGCGATATACTCATCTAAATCAGCCAGCCCCTGTACGCCGCTCATGCATCGCTTACAATTCCAATCAGAGATCCTTCTATAAAACAATCAGGTTGCCTACTTCCAGGCCCTGGCTTTCGACATGGTATCTCCTGCGCAGCCCAATACTTTTCACGTTCGACAATGCCTCATACGTATGCTCACCGCCTCCTACCATTACCATGGCAATCGGATGGTGTCTCGCAATGCCTGATGGCGTCCGCTGCGTTTCGTCGAGCAACGGGCGGATGAAATTCGTACTCCATACATCGTACTCGCCATCATCATTGCCCTCTTCGTCGTCAGACACAACAACGACCAGCTGCAGTGCGTTTCGATTGGGTGCAAAGGAGGGTATGTTCGCCAGCTTCTCCGAGAATGAACAACCGCCACGCCGCATCACAATGACATGGTGACTCTTGGCTGCCTTGTCGGGCAGCTTACCTTGGCACGCCTGGCCTGCAAAATAGATTTTGGACCAGGAGAGTGAGTCAATTTGGATGCCAAGCAGCGGGTTGGGGGCTTCAGCGACATCAGGTAACGGGGCGGCCCCAAGGCCCACAGGTGTTATGGCTGGCAATTCCGCATATCGATATTCTGGTTTTGGTGCTGGTATGGGGCCATAGGTGGCGACGGGATCTCTCAACACGGAGGTGATCTGTGACAAGAAAGAGCTGAAGATATTCGGAGCTCCGACAGATTTGACATCGACTGATGACTGTGATGTCTGAGGATGTGCCATATCTTGCAAGTCATTCATTTCAGTGTCATTCTTCTCTGGAAGGACCTGGGTCTGTAGAAGCAGATCAACCACCACGGCATCCCTGATGCGGTGGAATAGAGGATCGGACATTCCAGTAAGAACATCACGGCTGATCAAGACCTTTTCATCCCGACCCAGCGGTAGGTTGCCAATGCTTTGCACCCTCCAAATGCGATGGCTCGCGTCCGGTGGTTCTTCTTGCACCATTGTTAGCTTCAAGCCATTAAGGCTATTGATAGCTATGCCCTCGCCTGTCCGGACCAAATTGTGCCCGCCAAACATGAGATTGAATGCACTTCCAACGACTTGCTGAGTATTTGAAGGGAATTCAATGGTCGATGTATGTTGTTGGCGAATAGCTGCACAGATCCCATCGCTTGGCAGCATTGCCTCAGGAAGTGTCCACGGGAAATGTGTATGGTTGCTCCTTGGCTTTGGAGCTTCGGTTGATGTACTGTCATCACTCCCAAACTGGGGCTTCGAACTTGAGATGCCATGTATGTTGGGCACGTGGTGCAAACGGATCAAACTTGAAGCATGGTATAGATCAGACCTTGCTGCTGTTGCTGATCCAGTGAGCGGCGGAAGACTTGGTGGTACGGGGCAAGACAAAGTGAAGTCGCTCGCTACGTAGCTTTGGACTCCGCTCTCGGCAGGACTTGACTGGCGTCTCCGGTACTGGCCACTTTCCCGTGGAATGATGAGTGGATGGCCCTCGGTGGTGAAAACATATGGAGCGTCTAGCTTGTTCAATGGATGATCAGGATCAAAGAGAAGATACAGGTATTTAGCGGTCTCTCCGAGGAAGAAACTCTCCATGCGATCGCTCTTTTCTCCGGTTCGTACATCTTGCAGTCCAGACCAGCCGCACTTGGTCCAACAGCGCCGAATTATGTCTCTCAAAACCATTTCTCCAGCATAGAGATACCATGGATCCTTGGTCGCACGGTAGATGTGATAAGTCGACTCGATGAACTCGGGTCGGCCAGGCCACCAGCCGAGACCGCCTTCTACATTACCGTCTCGGACAGACCATCGTTCCGGCAGGGCCGAATACCGAGTCCACAAGGCCGTATATAGGAGATGTGTCTCAATGGCCTCGTCAAGCTCACCCGCGATAGCCAAAAGACCAGAATAGTATGCGCCCAGGCTATCAATCCAATACGCCTGAGGCGAGCCAGTGGAAACGTGAACATTAATATAGTGCGGATGGTGTACCTCGGAGTACAAATGCCTTTTAATGGCAGCATGAGCGTGGTGCCACGCCCCCAGAAACGCATCTGGTGAGTTGTCTTCATCGGATAATGGCGTATAAATAGAATTGGGGTCGAGCGAACTTCCGAAGGGAATGTGTGTAGGCATCGTGCGGTTTGGTAGGTCGTGCCCGGACAGCAAGATATGTGTCTTCAAAGCATACTCGAAGAAGCTATCGATGCCGGCACCAATTCCAGAGAAACCCCCTATCCAATGACCACCTTCAGCATCTACGCCCGCGCCCAAGAGGCCAATATCGCTCCTTCTTGACCAGACGGACCAGAAAGCTCTTTTGGCAGCTTGCTCAAATCTTGGGTCACCCGTCAGGCGACTAAGAACAGTAAACTCGAGTACCAAGCTTCCCGCTCCAGCTGTACATGTCTCTGTAATCTCTGGGGGCTCCTGGGTGCCATCAGGGTCCAGACTAATGTTCTCATGGAGCGGAGAGTTAACGTAGAATGGAATTCCATGCCTCAGATTCACCCGCGGGTATGGCATGCCAGTCTGTGTATAAAATGCAGGGAGCAATCGTTGCGCCAAATCAAAGGCAAGTCGAAGTAGCTGGCCATCGTACTTGAATCCATTTGGCCAGACAATCGGATGGTGTTCCACGTCATCATTGGTTCGACCTGGGTTGTATCCAGAGATTGGCAAGTCTCCTACGGCAAACAAATGTGCACTCAACAGACCACCAACGCCCCTGATAACGGTCTCAAAGACCTGAACCTTGCTGTCGACATTGAAGCCCCTTTCGCGCACACCTTGCCCCGAGGGACCCGGCCGTCCATCTCCATACTGTTCCACCAATGCTGCAACGCCTTTCTGAAAATCGTCCAGAGCTTTGGGCCCGGTCTGCTTGTCATCTGGAGGGGCGGAGGCGAGTATCGCAAGGGTCGACAAGCTGTCTATCAAGGTCAAGGAGTAGTTTCCGAGGACGTCGTTAAGCTCAATATGTCGAGGGTTCAGACGATCGCGAGTCAAAGGTGTACAAGAAACTGGCCGCAGCTATATCATCGATAAGTCAGCTGGCCTTCTACATTGACACGTGTGGGCTGTGCCTCACCTCGTCTTCTGGAAAAGCAATACTCATGTAGTTGTCAAAGCCGTGGTAGAACATGTCAACCGTCTCCTGCCTTAACTGTGCTACTCGATCCGGGCGCATAGCCCGCACGGCTACGATCCATGACGGCAGCAGCAGCAGTAGACATATGGTGGTCCAGAGTGCTAATGATGTGCCCCGCGTCATGGCCGCTGCCGGGCTCCGTCTCCGGCCGGCCACGCATGCCGAGGGCATCACCGGGAGCTAGAGGTATAAGCATGCATGTGTAACAAGGTAGACAATCGTCGTGAGACGAGCGGGCGACCGGGGGGGATCGCCGCGCTTGCAATGCTTAATGAGAATATAACTGCTCAGCCGGATGAGGGATGGAGTTGGTATGGGCTGGCCGGTATCAAGCATGCGACGGCTGGATACCTCACGGTGGTGCAGGTGTCAAGGTAAGCAAGCAACAAGCAAGCTGACTTTTGGCTGGCCGTCTGATGCTGTCATCGCCGCTGAGCCTGGTAGCTGGTAATTTTACAGCGCTTCGGCTACGCTAAAGGGCCCAGTAAATACAATGTACGCACTAACAAGATAGCGCTATGTACTGGCTGACCCGTTGCTAAGCTTCCAGTTCTTGTTCACCAGTGCAGAGTGGAGGACAGATCTCCCCTGTCCGCTCCCTAAAAACAAAAAACTGGGCAAAGGTAAAGGGGTGGGGACTGCGGGATCCAGCACTGACTGACTGACTGACTGACTGACTGACCGCTGAGCACTACATAAGATTGCACTGCACCGCACCGAGCCAATGCTACTGATTAACGTGTGAACTTACAGTGCTTACACATTGCATCATTAAACCTACCACACTCACCTGCCTTTTCTAATGCTCCTTTGAAACCACGAGGTCGCATCCTTTGCCAAGGCTGGCGGGCCTCAGTCCATTAAGCGCTTGCCGCTCGTCAGAAGGCCTGTCGCTTACGGAGCCTACGAGGCTGCGTCCTAACCTCGCGCTTCGACGAGAACGGCAAAATTAAGCGAGAATTCGTTGTTTGCCCATTCAAAAGCTTCAACAGAATCTACAGTATCTACAACAACAAGAAGAACAACAAGCATCTCCATCCCTGCGTCAATACATTCTGGTACCTCGAAGTCTTCTGTGACGTGACGAGTTGCGCTTTGCGGCCCGTGAACCGTCTAGCTTAGCTCACCCTCTGCGCAACCTGGCAGGCTTTCGTCCACACAGGTACTTCGCGGAACCTTTGCCCTCTACCTCTCTCTGGACCCTATCGCCAGCCACTATCAAAACTATGGACTTGTACGGAAGAGCCCACGGGCGCGGGTACATGACCTAGGAGGAAGGTCGGCACATCCCAGCAGTCCTTTCCCCCCCCCCTCCCCCGAGGATTCCAAACCTGGTTGGAAGCCAACCCTTGCTCCCGTTATGTTCTTCGCTTCTAAGGATCGATGCCATTTCCCGCTTTATACAGTCTTCTCCGCCTCAATCGGGAACGCGCTAGTTTGCATGGCGTGCGAAAAGTCGGGAGTTGCTCAGAAGGATCATTATGTGACATGGCTCAAAAGTTCTGCCGCCTTGTATATTGCCGTCTCCACAGGGATTATCTCTGATGAACATCACCCAACAACCATCTGATACTTCAGAATACTTGACCCACGCGACGGAAAGTTCTCTCATATGAACATGGGTTGAGCTTTGAAGCCTAGCCCAGTGGGAGCTTCCTATTGACCTTTGGCGAAACTGTCACGGCCTGGCTCAGCCTCAATATGGGAAGGCTCCTGGTGTATGAAGCAGGGCATTTTTGGATCAATGCTATATTTACGCCAGCACGCACCTGCTTAAAAGTTCCTGGTCTCGCTAACTTGATCAAGTCCGGCACGCATTGGTCCCGAGGTCTTGTGTGTATAGCTTCTACAGACTGCTGGGGTTTTCTGGCATTGCTATGAGACGCGGAAAGGCGGGTGGGTGCTGAGATGAGTCAAAAGGGCGTGCCTCCAAGAGACTTCGATCTGAGGGACGCAAGGAAGATCTTTGAACAATGAGCCTGTGGGTGAAGTCATAGCAAATGCTGGTCCCCTACGCCCTGATTCGTCAAGTCATGCTACATCCGACAACTTCTTTTATCCTACCGTCGGACAAAGGTGGGAGTGAAGAACCCTCCATGTACAGCCAGCCCAGTAACTGCCGCAGATGCTTCTGTCCTTCATTCTATCAAGGGTCTGATTGTCTTCCAATGGAAGCACGATATTAAGACACCCACTTGATATCCCAAAACCAGCAATAAGCTTCTTTAAGCAGACCTGTACCCCAAGTGTTCTGCTCTGCATTGCTAAACACTACCAGGTCGCTGTATTTTTCGATTGGTGGTTCAGACATCTGAAGTCTGCAGATAATTACGTCCTTCAATGACTTACCACTATGCCTTTGGTAATCCACTGGACAAAGGGATAGATAAGGAAAGAGTCTAATGGCCCCTGCCGCTCCTTTGAAGCGGCTGCCGACGGGACCAAATACATGTACGTTTATGAACTACCCGGCGCTTGTTCTCCATCATTCTCCCTTACTCGTCTGCGCTGGGCAGGCTTAGGCGGCACCAAGTATTCAGACGCGTGCTTTTGGTGAGCTTTGATGGAGAATCAACTCTTTTTTCGTCATGGCCAATTTCGGTAAGATTCCGTAGACGAATGGCCTGGCATGAACCTTGTACATGATGATGCTTGTGCGTTTTCATGGTACACAGCTTCTTCTTACGTCAAATTAGTCTTGTCTCCTGCCAAGACGAGCGAGCGTGATTGTTTAATTCAAATAAGAAATAAGGGCGGCAAGACAAGAAGATGAGCTTGGGCATACAATTCGGCTATGTTCCGATATCACCGCCATCTTTCCCCCAGCCAATTCTTGGCTGATTTAAAATCCGTGCCAAGCGTGCATCCTCAATACGATGGGGACGAATGAAAATCAAGCTACGATACCAAGAAGATGGAGAAGCCCCCAAAGTGATTTGAAGGGGATTGCTCTCTGCATATTGTGGCCCATGACATCAAGCATGCTATGCTCGGCCGGCCAGCCGGCCGGCCAAGATGGCGGTCTGATCTAGGACTATCCTCCACATCTAGCCATCCTATATGATTCAAAAAATAGAAGTGTGCGGGATAGTGCATTGTCACGCGGCAGAAATGCTACTCTCGGCTGCGCCACGAGGATCGAACCTTGCCTTCCCAGCCCGGGGGAGGCACAGAATCGCATGGCAAGAATAATAGCAGCGTTGCGGCCATCATTTGACAGGGCTGCAGATATGGAGATAATTACGCCGGAGTGAGGCCCTCTTTCTTTTCTTTCTTTTTCACTCAGAGGTTATTTCTATATTGACAACCCCGGAAAAGGAAATGGCTCCATTTTTTGGGGCCCTGGAAATCCTTGAGGGGGTGGGAAAAGTAAATAGTCTCTCGCCCTTACATATCATGTTATGTACCAGTCAGTGCGCAAAATAATAGTACTACATGGGTCACGGACGGACGAGGGTCAAGGGAAGAAGAAATGGAAGAGGATCAATTCTTCTTCTTCAAGCCCTGTCAGAACCTTGAATTGGGCCGAACCAGGAGGCGATCCAGGATGCCGCCGGACAAGGACTTGAAGAGAAGACAATGAAAAAAAAAAAATCCCCAAGAGCTACAGGGCCCTTGGTGGATCTGTGCGTGTGAGCGGATTTTCCGAGGTCGACTTTTTTTTTTTTTTTTAATCCCCTGTCTCTTTACCCGTATCTTGTTTGGTCAGTACATCGTAGCAGCAAAAGAGACGAGAGAGAGCGGTGGCCAAATTCCATTTGATACGTAATATAGTGCCTGTAGGTAAAGAGAGAGGGAATTGTAAATAACACCCCCGGGTGGGATAGATCTCATAATATTATGCCTATATCCTAGTCGCAGGCAAAAGCTGGGAGAAAACGCCCATTACCCGCAAAGAAATTCCGATGACATAAAGAATGAGAGGGAGAGAGAACATGGCTGATTTGTTGAGTGCATGCCGCTTTTCTCTCTCTCGGCTCTCTTCTCCTCTCCTCTGGACATTATTACGTGGTTTTGAGAAAGCTAGAAGGGAGCTCATTTACCAGTCCGTCGGGTCAAAGACAGGGCCCCCAGCCCCCTTTCACCGATGCTGCTTTCCAAGTCTAGATTCATTCCCGTAGCGAATGAACCTCACTGGGAGGGAGGCGAGGACATAGATTGGAGCAGGTTATTTTTCTTCTCCTCTTTTTTTCTTCTGCTTCTACACAATACTACACCGCATTTTGTGTCATAATACGCACCTATCATGAGAACAAGGAGGGGGGTAAAGGGCGGGGGGGACGAGAAACCATACGTAACGCTTGACTCCCAGCCCTATGGGGCTTTTACTCTGTGGAATAAAAAGAAACACCTACGATGATTGAATAAATCGTCTTGAAAGCGGAGACAAAAGACTACATACGTATTCGCTCTGTATGCTTATGAAGGGCACAGTAAAACTCTACATATCTAGGTAACCTATCATGTGCTGTCGAGCCGATGCACAGTTACTTTGAATCTGGAGACACTTTTCTTGGAACATTTTTAGGCCGCGTTATGCAGTCCAAATGCATCCATCCCCCCTCCAATCCACTCCCTTGCATTTGCAGTAGTAGACAGACCGAGTGGCCGCTCTACTACTAGTACCTCTGATAAATATAGACCGCCCCAAGGGGTCTTGTTGTGGCTCATCGCCCAAGGTCATGAATATGGCCGCAACCGGACTTTACAAAGAAAAGAATCACTTTCTAAATCTGATTTCTTGAAACACATCCCCCCTCCCCGCATGGCTTACAATCGTGGCTTGGTTACCATCTTACGTGTTAGTCTTAGTATGGCCAGAAAGAATGCTTGTTTCCGCTCCTAGAAAGTGGTCAAGAATCGGATTTATCAGCATAATTTGACACTCGGAAATCTGGCAGAACCTTGTATTGCATTGTCAGATCATGATATTTGCCCCCAATCTCGCCATGCGCCATGTCTTGCAGTGGATGTGCCAAATATGAGCATGACAATTAAAGCCAGTCATGTCCAAAGTCCATGTCACCGTATAGGCATCACGGGGAAAAAAAAGTTCCGCTGAAAGTTTTAGTGTTTTGAATGCAACTAAATATATACAAAAAGAAGAAGAAAAGAGTATGGCACAACAGAACTCTTGAAAATCGCCACATGCCCAAAAATTGCAGAAAACAGACTAATAAAAACCATTGGTTTGAGTAAATAAAAAAGAAGGTATCGCGCAAGCCGCTTGCCGGCATAAATCTAAACCACTAGACTGAAAAAGATTGAGATGCTTTTTCTTCGATACAGACAGATAGTAAATGGTGGGGTATCATCAAGAGAGAAGAGGAAGAGTAAAAGTGAAAGAGTGGTCGCTCTTTGTCATCAAGACAGGTGAGGATAGCTTTGCTGGCCCCTGCTCGAGCTGTCATAATACGGCGTGGTTTCGCTGTGTTGAGCAATCATTTGATCGCAAGCTTGCTTCGCCACACGCTCGCTTTGATGATCCTGCTGGGCACTGGTTCGCCGCGAATGAGGAAACGACCCAGACAAGTCCATGGCATCGGGGTGATTTGCCGGAGATTCCTCTTCTGGAACAAAGAAGGCTTCGAGCAAGCGTTCCTCCTCTTCTGATGATAGGTTGTTCCTCGTTTGTAGGCTCAGACCGCGCTCATCATACACGGCTGACGGGGGACTCGGCTCTGCCCATAGGTTTGGCTGCCCCTTCTCGCGTTGGATCTCCTTGCGCCTTCTTCTGATCTTCTTTGGCTTGAGATCGGGATCGTATTCTTCTTCGCCGAGTTCCGATAAGCGTTTAGCAATGTGCTCGGGTTTCCAGTCCCATACTCGGCAGCCTTTCTTCTCCTTCATGATCTTGAGTATATCGATATAGCGACGCTTGTCGTATTCTTCTATTGCCTCGGTGAGAGCTCTGTCCTATACCAGAGTTAGTCATTAATGGAGACCTAGAACAAGACAGTTCTCGATATAAGTGCCACATACCTCATCTTCAGGCCAAATGGCCAGCTTCAATACTGCGCGGGAAAGCTGCATCTGCAAAGCAGCGCGTTCCTTTTTGTCATAACGTTCGTGATATCTTTCTGCAATCTTGTCCCACATGCCCTTGCCCTTTTCGTTGATCAGTTCTTCTCTCAAACTAAAGAGAAAATGATCTTCAGGTCGATCCTTGTCATGGCGAAGTTGGAGAACCTGGCGAGGTTCACGCTCCTCTTTGATGCGCCTCACGGGAGACTTTGATCCAGCCCGAGAGGGTACCTGGTCATCGTGTGCTCCAATACCATGATAAGGTGACTGTCTTGCGGCCCTACTACCACGCTGACGCTTCCGTGGTGGTTGGCTGCGCCTGATGCCCCCGCGTCTTGCCGCTCTCTTATAGGATGGTTCCATGCCTAGAACAATGGGAGCATGTCCTAAACCATAGCTCTCATGGTTGTGAAGATTGTCGATGTGAGGAATGTGAGTACCTAGAGATCCTTGGCCATGCATGTTGTTCATAAGTGGCAGTTGTGGCGGTGCTGGTGCCATGTGAAGGTGGGAGCTGGGACCCATCTGGTAACCCTTCAGCAGAGCTGATGGATTGATGTGTGGACTGCTTGAGAAGAGCGTCGCTGATGCCATCGGAGGGGATAAGTCATCCTGAGGATCCGGGCCAGAAACACCATAATGACCGTAATAGTTCTCTACGCTTGTGACCGGAATAACTTGTTGCTGTGGTGGTGAGTGTGTATCGTCAAGGAGTCCAAGTATATCTGGCGCATGGTGTGTTAATGGAGATGGTGGTTGAGTGCTGCGGATCATGGTATGATTTTGAGCATTGCTGTACCAATCCGCAGTACTCGAACGGGAGGTGCCAGGAGGTGTAGGCTGCTGGGAAGTGCTCCCAGGGTTGCTGAATGAGTGTACCATCTTCACTGATGCGCTGTCTGATAACGATGGTGAACCAGCAACAGACACAGGGGTAGGTAGCGATGAATCGTATGGGGCGTTGTAGTTAAATGGGGCAATCTGTGTGAAGATGAATGAGCAATCACATGGTCCTCTATAGAGAGGAAATCGACCTACCGAGGAATAGGTTATGGTTGTGGTGGGAGTAGAGCAGGCACCCACGGTGGTGGTGGCGGCCGAATAGGCGCGGAGCGGGAGGTGACCTTCGGATGCAATATGGTCCTGATTGTGATGACCAGATGACTGCTGTTCGTACGAAAGATCGCCCATGTTTGTCTGCTGTTGAATCCTTGAGATGGACTCGACAGTGTTATAGTTCAAGTCTGGGGCCGAGTACGGTGCTTTGTGATCGGGGCCAGAACCAGTAAAAGTCAGAGAAGGAGAAAATAAAGGTCGTGGGGTCTATGGAATGTTGCGAAGGCACGCCGTCTTTTTTGCCTCAAGTGATACTGGATGCTGCCGTGTGATGGAGTTATACAAATAGAGTAGAACTCGCAGGATTGGCTCTCGGATTGAAAATGAGGAGGAATGGAGGATGAAGAGGTATGTTTATAGAGACGCAGATCCAACAGCCGGCAGTGAAAGAAGGGTTAAAAAAAAAAGTAAGTACTGCTTTTGTCAGGTACGTGTGGTACGTGTGGACTGTATCTATCATCCATGGAGGCAAGGTAGGCAAAGGCAGGCCGGCTCTTGGTGGGTGGAGTGGATACCTCTACCTATGTCTCCATAGACTTACCTATGCTCTTTTGACGTGAACTCATCCCCCGCCAATGTCGACAATCGGCAGGGGCCCTGCAAATACCTGACGGTACAAAAAGTCGACCTCATCTGATCAGCGTACTATGTACCGGGATAGACCCATAGATAAACGACAAGGGACTTGGATCTTTGGGGGCTTGTCTCGAGCCACTGGGCAACGGGGGGGAGAGATATCCTTGGTGGGTAGTGATGCATAAGGAACACTGCCATGCATAATAGCCGCCGCCGTGTACCTGAGCCGGTACCATGATCACATTGACAGACGCGAGTGGATCTCTTGAATGAGCGAGCCATTGCGGCCTGCCAGAAGTGGTGAGAAGGGAGAAGACGATGAGCGTCGGCCCACGGTTTGCTCATATGCGACCATCAGCGCCTAAAGTGACAACGGGCCATGGCCGTCCGGCCCGGCCAGATGGCAAGGCTCAGCAAGGCTCAGCAAGGCTTCAAGGTGGGATCTAGAAGTTGGAGTTGAGTTGCATTTGAACACCCCGAAAAAAAAAAAAAAAAAAAAAACTGCATGTGAGCTGTATTGGTGGGTTATTATTGCCACTTTTCAACAGGAGAATGAGGAAAATGTTCACAGACTGCGTCTCGATGTTGTGCCTTCTGTGGATGCATTCTGCCAGCACCCTCTGTCTACCTATGGGACCTTAAGGGCCAGAAACATCAGAGAAGACCGAGGGGAACGCTAGCGAGCCGACGACTGGTGCGAGAAGGATCTTGGAGAGCAGAGATATATGTGATCTATTACCTGGGCCATACATGGACAGGCCGTGTAGGTAGACATAGTAATGGAGGTAAATGGGAGGTACCGAGTAAACAGTTGTGGTGCCGTCATGTATAACCTACCCCAACTAAGACTAAAACGAGACGAGACGAGCACGTTTGCTGGCGTTGGGTAGCATTCGCATTAAACTCGTTTGGGTCTAGAAGTACAGACACTGTGCGTACCAGGGTAGGTGGGAACTTTGGACCTTCCCGAGGTCTCCCCTAGGCTAGCTACCTTGACCTGATCTGATGCCCGCCCATGCGCCAAACCCGTCGAGACCATGCGCAGGCAGGAGGGACCCGTGGTCCCGTACATTGACCCATGGAAGAAGAAGAAGAAGACGTAAGGGCAGCGCGCAAGCTGGAGAAGGAGCAGAAGCGGAACAATCCCCAGTTCGCCAAAGAATCCAATCCAGCACGTTCCTACCAACCATTCATTACCTAAATGCCGTATCTTGGTGGCCTTGACGGCCAGGGAAAGCCCTAGGTTAGAAGTCTCGTGCAGCCACTAAAATTCATCGGTCACGACTTTTTTCAAAGGGCTTTATGCAAAGAGAGGTGACGAGAGAGAGACTTGAGAGACAGGGAGAGAAGATCGTCTTCTGTAAAAAGCGGAGATGAGCTACCTACCAGCATGCCTAGGTAATTAATTGTATTAATTGCTTGCAAGGGCATCATTTGCCAAACCGAAGTTACGTTTTCGTTTGCCTTTGGGTGTTCTGCTTGTGAGTGGTCGAACGACCTGCCTACCACTTTGGCAAACAACCGACCAATGATGGCTCCAAAGTCGACATGTAAAAATTGCAACGCTTTCACTGCAAAACTTGCCAGGCATGCACCCGCAGTAAGTAGACTTGTCGAACGACACAGCGGGCGATCCGCAGCCCTTTTGGCGTGTAGAGATCAGCCCGACAGGGTCAATCCAGGCACGCGGCTTGGACGGATAACGGCTGACGTTCCCGTGAGATGGCTAGTAGGGGACGTGCCGAGCACGATTAGCTGGTCGTAGTGGTAGTACGTAGTGGCAAACCTCCCTAGAACAGGTAATAAGGTAGCTCAGAGCTCACAGGTAGGTACGTCCGCCGGCCACTCCCCCCCATCTCCACCGAACCAGATGACGGCGCGCAGTTGACAAGGGATGCCGAGAGAGGGCCGGGACGAGGACGAGCATGGACCTCAACTCGATATAGGCACAGCTCGGCATAGCAAACTCTAGCCCTCTTGCTAGCAGGTGGTGCTTTGATCGACCCATCCCACACAAATCAACGAGTGGCAGCGAATTCATATTTGCATGACTGTGAGGTCGTCAGCTCTCAGGGCAGTTTTGCCGGATGCGATAGATCAGCCACCTAGCGAAGCGCGATCGAATTGTGGCTTGAAGAATTACAATTTCCTCCCAATCTGTTTGCTTCGTGGATAGTAGGTATCATCGGTTGTCCACCTAGCAGTGCAGTGCATACATGCAGAGAACTACAGATCATTGCCCAAATGCGCTATCTGGTCGTAAGGTATGTACGGAGCGAGGATTATGTATATGAAGCTGCTTGCAGCGCATACAATCTACATGCCATTGGTAACCTATGAGAAGCCTAGCTGCCCAAATGTCAAAAAGTGCCATGCTTGCCGTTCATGAAGCATGTCCTCATTGTAGAAGATTGACGCACTAGGGAATACAGAGAAGTACAACAAATGTTGAAGTGCGATGGAGTTATCTGGCCATGGAACGTGCAATAGAACACAAACTGTATTGAATAAACAGTAAGCAGAACTTTGGTTCCGTACAAAGTGAATGGACCGCACTTGCTACCTACCTAGTAGCATTCCCTGCGACGCACAGCACTTTGGGCCATTTTTCACATACTCAGCGACTCTACAGACGACGATAACAACCCTTTTGAGACTCGAGTGCAAAAAGTGCCATTGCTCTTCATCTTACCTCAAACCATATCGTTTCGCAGCTCGTCGTAGGGGGGGAAGAAGTAATCAGTCAGGGTTCCTAGACAGACCGGCAAACTAGATCTCCTCCTAAGCCCAGTGCTGGCCAGGGGGGGAGGCACGGGTGTTGTCATTCGAGGTACGTACTGGATATAGCCGCGGAAGGAGCAATGCAAGTCCGCGGCGACCATCAAACGGCTGGCCAAGGATGAACCCGTCAAATTGAGATTGGATCTGTGCTCAAGCTTGAATCCACGTCAAGGCTACGTACCTGTGCGTGCTGGCAACATTACCTGGTTTATTAATGTGCTAGTGTAGAGACAGACGGTGGTGGTCAAGCAAGTGCACCACCACTACCAGACAGCTATGGGGCAATGAAGCGGCTATCATCCCGATTGACTCATCTCTCCATCGTGGAGTCTCTCTGAGCGACAATGTTCCCGGTCGGCTCTTTTTACACTACAGTACGTAGTCGTTTGATTCCCAATGCAGGAGCAACAAGTTCGATGAATAGTCCATTCCATGTGGATAATCCAGACAGAAATTGCACAGCGGAGAAGCTATACATAGCAGGTGCGGATTGAAGGAAGGGAATTCAAATGGAGGATGGTTGATGCAAGTTTTGTGGGTAGGCGGTACCTCCAATTGATAACCACTGTAACATACTCCGGCCTAGTACTGAGTACCCAGAGCCATCAGATGTCCAGGTAAGTTCTATGTTAGCGTTCGGGTCTATGGGGGAAAAGATCTATCCGTCACTCTAATTACACGTCCGTGCAATTCTACAGAGGCCACCAAGAGAAGCAGCGCACCCTTGATCTTTGTTCGTTCCAAGGAGTAAGCAGACGTTTATTCATCTCTTGTTCTTCAAGGTTGAGACGTAGAGCACTGAAGAAGGTAATGCTTGCTTACAGACCTGTTGTATTATGCTGTGCCATGTGTCTTGTCATTATGGTGCATACCCGTTTGGATGGACTATGTCATGCAAGCTCTACATACGCTCGTGTACTGTACAATACCTCATGCTTGGTTTAGGTAGTACGTAGTAGGAAAACAGCAGGTACGAACTCTTGGATACGCATACATAAGGTATCTGCACACCTACCTCAACCACCATACGTACCTTGAGCCTTCTGCTGGCGGCCTGCTCCTACCTTAGTCGCCGCTGGGTCGACAGAAGATTGCTATTCCGAGCTCGGCCCCCACGAAGCTTGAGCTTGCGCCCCGTAAATTTTGATGCACACAGCCCAGGTAGGGTAGCTCAACTCTGACGCTCTCGCCAAGTCGAGCACCACTACAACCAAACATCCATGAGTGCGCCATTCTCTCGACAATATCGAGACAGACGACACAACCATTGATATCACTGTTCTGGGCATATAGTGGGAAAGTGTTCAAAGGTCTTGTTATCCATGGCCTGCTATTGCCGAAAGTCTCTTGCACTCGCTTCCCACACGTCGAGATCGCCTACGAGGTTTCCGGATACAGGCGCAGCTCCACCCGCGGCATAAGCTCCTGTGCAGCATGGTATTTTCGGCCTGCCGAGACGAGCAATGCTGTCTATGCTGCCGGCGCCATTGCTACGGGCTACTTGGCGGGTGTCACGCTGGTTGCTGTATGGACTCTGGAGTACAGCTTCGCTTGCGCCGCACATATTCAACGTTGATCTAATGGGGTATTCGACCAGATACCTACCTACAGAGTACTTTCTCTAGCTCCCGGCCCTGCTTCTCTTTGAAGCGCGCTTAAAGATTTTACGCACATACTTCACAAGCCGTCGACTTCTTTTTTATTGCTTTGTTATCTCG